TCTTACCTAGAATTTTTCTTGTTGTGGGTTAAATAGTAGCTATATACTATAAGTTCAACTTAGTATCATTTGTAGTACTAGCTATACCAAAGGTAGGTCTCTCTGTACTATGTGTCAGGAGGTATATGAATTGATTTTCACCTTTACTAATTAGTGTTAAGACTAAAATTTTTTTTATTCATTTTCTTTGCCTTTTTAAATTATATTCAATTATATTAATTATATTATTTTCTTCAATTAACTTCATTCTAACTCATAAGTTTTTGTTTTGTTAACTTTTGTTTTATTTTTACTTGATCTAGATTCTCATAAAAAATAAAGCTACTATTAGCTAAATGCAAGAAATTATCATATAATAGAATTCAAGATTAATAAGTCAACATAGTGTTCTTGTAAGTTGCATTTGCTATTACTCTTTTTTCTGATTCAAGTCTAGCTAAAGTAGCACTTTGCAAGAATAATACTCTGAAGATTTAAGTTTTTGACTTAAAAAACTTTGATCAGAGATTGACAAATGCACATTATAAGAACTATAATAACTTCTTTAGAACTCTGAAATAATCTTGAATAAGAAGAATAAATATATTTTGCAAGACACAGCGTATTGGCTAATGTTTTTTCTCCTCCTAGTTCAAGAATATTTAGTTGAATACCCACAATATTCTTGCAAAGTGTATTTGCTAATACTTTTCTTCTTCTTATTCAAGATTATCTTTTTTACTGATGCTTTTCTTTTCTAATCCAAGATTATTCTCAAAACTTTATATAAGATCAAAAAAAAAAATTAGTATCGTATTCTCCCAAAGAGAAGCTAATCAAAATTCCAACAAACAGAATCTAGAAAAGGTCAAAATCCTGACAGATTAGCTCGCATTAGGGTTAGAGTTAGCATAGTATTAGTCAATTTTTATTAGAATTTTGTTTTTCAGAATTCTGTTTGTTGAGATTTTGACCTAAACCTCTTGCAAAGTATATTTATTATGTCATTCTCTTTCTGGTTTGAGGTAATTTTTTTCATAGTCAAATATCAGTGTAGCATTCTTATGAAGTATATCTAATGATGCTTTTTTCTTTTAGATCAAGGTTTATTCTCTAATCTCGTTCAAGATTTAAAGAAGTTAGCAAGATTTTCTTGCAAAGTGCAAGTGCTAATTTTTTTTTTTTTTTTCATCTAAGACTACTATCAAAAGTTCAAAAAAATCAGTGTAATATTCCTGAAAGTATATCTTCTAATACTTTTTTTTCTTTATGATTCAAAATTTATAATTACCAATACTCAAAGTTAGAGCTAATGCTTTCCCTTTTTTTAATTCAAGATCATACTATAGTTTTATAGTTCCAGAATAACAACTTCTGTATTTAGTTTGTCAGTTGTTGATCAACACAAAAAAGTCACATAGATACAATGCTTTAGATAATCTTTAAAAAATACATGTTAATTATCAATACAAAGAGTCAAAAATATTGCTAAAACAAGTAACAATAATTATAACAATAATGATATCTATAATGATAGTAATAATAATAATAATAATAATAATAGTTATAATGATAGCTATAACAATAATAAACTAGTGATGTAAACTATTTAAATTTAGATTATACAGGTTATACAAAATCAAA